AGCAACGTTCACAAACAACCACAATCATCCAGAATACCCACTACGAGCCTTTATCCACAGCATCAAGCTCATTCAAAAAACAAGTCCAGTGTTCTGGTCTCAACCAGCCTTTCTGGTAACCTGTTCCAGTCATTAATTGCCCGTTTGGTAAAGGAAAACTTTCAGGTATTCGTCCTGAAATTGGCCATTGCAACCCTAAACCTATGTCTTCTTGTTCTCCTGTCTTTGTGGATTCAAAAGTATTGTTTCCAGTCTACTATTTGAATCCCATTTAAAATGTTATACCCGACTATAAGGTCCCCTCTGAGACCTCTTATCAAGGCTGAAGAGTTTGCTTATTCCTCTAACACTGGAGACTATTCTCATCGCTTTCCTCTGCACTACCTCTAGGACTTGGGGTCTAGTTGTACTATAGTAATAATCCTTGCATCTGATGTATTTTGCATTTGATCGGACTGCAAAACGTCCGCTCCCTCTGTAACAAAAACAAGGCCCTGGTCATCAACGATCTCATCCTGTCCAAGGTCCTTGAACGAGTTGTCGCCTCCCAGCTGCGCTCTTTCTTCTCCACCCATTCATTATTCGAACCCCTTCAGTCAGGTTTCCGTGCTGCCCATAGCACAGAAACTGCCCTGGTCAAGGTCACCAATGACATCCTGACCATCTATGACCAGAGCTCCCTATGCCTCCTCGTCCTCCTCGACCTATCGGCAGCATTCGATACGGTCAACCACTCTATCCTCCTCCACCGCTTGTCCTCCCACCTCAATCTTCAAGGCCCTGTCCTTGATTGGTTTAGGTCGTACCTCTCCCACCGTCTTCACTTTGTTTCCACGAACGGCTTTTCCTCCCCCCCCCGCACTGTCTCGTGCGGTGTCCCTCAGGGCTCTGTCCTCGGTCCCCTCCTCTTCACCCTCTATACGCTCCCCCTGTGGTGACATCATCTGCAGACATGGGGTTAACTTCCACATGTATGCGGATGACACCCAACTCTACCTTTCCTCCTCTACCCTCAACTCCACGACCCCCGATGTCCTGACAGCTGCCTGTCCGACATCGAGTCCTGGACGAGAGACAACTTTCTTCAGCTCAAAGTGCGTAAAACTGAGGCCCTCCTGATTGGCTCACGTCAGCGCCTCCGCTCCTCAGGCGCTGACACCATCAGCATCCAAGGCTGCACTCTCCACCTCTCAAAGCCATCAGGAACCTCGGCGTTCTGTTCGACCCTGAGCTGTCCTTTCTCCCTCATATCCGCGCCACAACTGGCACCGCCTTCCATCACCTCCGGAATATCTCCAGACTACGGCACTACCTCACCCCTCACGCTGCTGAAACTCTGGTCCACGCCTTTAACACCTCAAGGCTGGACTATGAGAACTCTCTCCTCGCCGGCCTTCCCGGCACCTCCCTCCACAAGCTGCAGGTCATTCAGAACTCTGCAGCTCGTGTACTGTCCCGCACCAGGCTTCGGGACCACATCACACCCACCCTCGCTCACCTCCACTGGCTCCCCATCCCCCAGAGGATCGAATTCAAGATCCTCATCCTCACCTACAAGGTCATTCATGGTCTTGCTCCCTCCTACCTCTCCGACCTACTATCCCCCTACCTACCTGCCCATACCCTCCGTTCCTCTGGCTCCGGTCTGCTCCACATCCCCCGCCCCAACCGCCCTAACATCGGTGGTCGGGCCTTCAGCCTCTCAGCCCCGAGGCTCTGGAACTCCATCCCCCAGTGCCTTCGCCGCCTCCTCCCTTTCCTCCTTCAAGGCCGGTCTCAAGACCTTTCTCTTTGACCGTGCCTTCAGCTCCCCTCTCAACTCTCTACCCCCTCCTCGCTCCCTCCCTTCCCTCCCCTCACCCTGACCATTTCCCCAATGCTCGGGTCCTGACCCAACTGTACAGCGCCTTGGGACGTCCTCCCAACGTGAAAGGCGCTCTATAAATGGAATCTTGTTGTTGTTGTTGTTGTAGCACCTTGTCATGTCATTGAAGCATCTCAAAGCACTTCACAGGTTATACTGTAAAGTGGTGTGACCATGTGCATTTTGTGGGCGAACACGGCAGCCAATTTGTGCAGAGCAATGTTCTGCAAACAGTCATGGGGTGAGTGACACAAATTTATTTATAGGATTGTTGGCCAAGACTCCGGAATAAACTCCATTCTTTTTGAATAGTGCCATAATAATAATCTTTGCATTTGATATAGCACTAGCCTTATCACGTCATTGAGATTTCTCAAAGATCTTCACGAAATATACTGTAAAGTGAATTGACTGCATTTTGTGGGTGATGCACGATAGACAATTGTGCGCAGCAGTGTTCCACAAACAGTTGTGGATTGAGTGACCCAAGGTTTATTTATTTATTTTGAAGGAATTATTACCCCCAGAAAACGAACCACCAATCGACTGCAACTGGGTTCCTACTTACTGCTAAGTAAACAGACGTTTGTGGAGTACGGAAACTTGCCTAAGATTTTGTCCCGCCCGGGAATCAAACCTGGGTCTTCTCACTTCCGAGGCGAGGGCCATGGGATCTTTAGCGTCCACCTAGACAGGCCTCGGTTGAATGTTGCAGGAAACCTCCAGCACTGCGTTGGAGTGTCAGCATAGTCTATGTGGGTTCCAAGACCAAACATTGGCCTTGAACACATGATCTTCAGTTGCCAACAACTGAGCCAGGCTGACACAATGATGCGGTGACTAGAACTATATACAGTACTCTAGGTGTGTCTTGACCAGAGCACTGTATAGGTTCATTTGAATTGGACTGAAACATGACTGAATTGACATCCCACTACTCAAGCTGCGTTTCAATGCACTCTGCTGTGACATATAGTGTAATTGATATGCAACTTTCTTTGAACTTGAAGCAATCATTCAGATGTGCAGATTAATTTTACCATACAGAGGAAAATAATTTTTGAGTGCACAAGATATCAGGGAGTTGTATGAAGTATCTTTTAACACTACACTGGCTCCAGTTCAAGAAAGGCGGTACACAACAGCTGGAGAAACTGACAGCTAAATGCTAGAAGTCAATCTGAGCCTAGCTCAGTTCAACAAGTGAAATAAAAAGCCCCCCTGCATTGAACACTTGACCACCAGTTGTAATGGCAAACTATGTGGTTTTAACTGGTTAAACTCCAGCAATACCCCCAACACACACTATGGGGTCCCCAAGCCTTGGCTCTTGCCAACCTGCGCCTAATACTTTCCAAAATTGGGTGAACAGGATGTGTCCCTCTAGTGAGAAAATGCTCATTCCGTTCCAGCAATCTATCTCTGGAATTTTGTGTATAGGTGGGATGCATGGAATTTTCAGTTTGGTTTGGATACTCTTAAGCATGGTTTCCGCATATGTCAGATACCCGGTTAATAAAAAACAATTGATATGAGGAGGTACTGAGTAAACCCCTCTCCCCACCTCCACATGATTAGGGGTGAAAAAGCTAGAGGGAGAAAGTGATGAGACCAAGAAAGAACTATCTCCAGTAATTTATTTTGCAATTCCTAAAGGCTTGTTGGAGCCAGGGATGTATTTACATTATCCATGTCTGTGAAGGTTTACTTCTGTAGTAATCCAACCCTGGACAAGCTCTGTTTGTTGCCATTTTTTATACTCTAAATTTATGTAATTTAATCCTCAACATCTGGTCAAATCAATGTTGGGGGATTGCAAAGAGAGCAAGTATTTATAACATTGTAGTAACATTGTGGTTTAATTTAGAAATTTCTTTAGTATTGACAGCAATTATTCTGATGTCCACAGCATTTCTGAATGGAGTCATCCATGAATTTGACTTAGTGACTTAGTGGAGTCCTGTAGCTTAGTTAGAGCACTTGTCTCGCAAGCAAGAAGACCTGGATTTGATTCACGGGTAGGGCGAAACGTTGAACAAGTTTCCTTACTCCACATGCCTCTGTCTAGTAGTAAGTAGGAATCTGATTATTAGTCAATTGGCGGATTGCATTTCCAGGGGTAATAATCCCTTCAAAAATAAAATAAATAATAATAATAATTTGGTCACTCAATCCACGACTATTTGTGGGACACAGCTGTGCGAAATTGGTTGCTGGGTTTCATACAGCAAAGGAGATTCTATGAAAAGGTATACCGATCCTGATGGTAGAAACATTTAAACAAAATAACCATAAGTGAAGTATAAGGAAGGTTTGGGTGGTACCAGTGAGTGCTATCACTGAAATTGATATTGACGTACATGATACATAAAGGCAAAAATGATTTAGTCATAGTTGGCAATGACAAAATGCGGACATTGTGTACTATACACATGAAGAAAATAAGGACACGTGGAATTTGAATTCCATCGAGAAATATGATATTTTATTATTAGTTGCCAACTACAGTAATTGGTGGTGAACCAATGTTTACAATTTCAATTTTCAAAATGTTTCAGCAAAAATATGGCAAAACAAACTCTGCTGATGTCCATGGATCTCAGTCCGCGTGTTGGTGTCTTGCTTTCTGCCCATATGGGACAGGAAGATAGATGGTTATTTCTATCCCTGATGCCACGTTTCAAGCAGTTTCACAACGACCATGGAATGAGGAAAAACAAATTGTCAATGTTCTAGATTGCACTCAGCTGTTTCTAATGGCATCCTAAACTTTGTGGTACATAAGTATGTTTTTAAAAATAAAACCAGGAAGGACCCAAGATCCAAGCTATACATAGACAGCCCGGAAAATGCTATGTGTGTGTTATAAACGATCACTTGAGCTGTGCCTGTGAGCACTTGCCTAGCCATCAGCTAAATTTGGGATTATGTTCGTCCATAGTGGTATCAAGTTCTCTTATCACATGCACACACAGTATTTAATACCAGAGCCATACTGAATATCAGTACTTGCTGTACACTTTACACTACAGACCCACATTGAGAAATCGGTCTCCAAAAGATCTAAATCAAAACGCTGCTGGGCAGCCACGTGTATTGGGTTTTGTCTTTATCAACATGTTTCTGGTTCTTCTAGCTACCAGGGAATTGAAGGACTTCTTTGCAAAAGCCCGTGGTGGATCTATTCGCATTATAAAGGTTATCATCAAAGATGGTGAGTTTGCTTTATTTATTTATGTCTATTCTACTATAGCTGAACAATTTAAGGAAAGAAAATGTTTGCAGCTCTAATGAATGGATCTATAAAGCTACCACAATAAGGAGTTGTTGCTTTACATGAAGTCAGTTATGTACTTATTGTTTTGGGAATCTGTTGTTTGAATAAATATTTGAGGATAGATTAGGGGAGCTGTGAGATTAGAGTAGGTAGCCACAATAGGGTAGCACTTCATTTCTGTGCTTTAAGTAAGTCGACTTAAACGTGTGTTGAGGTTGCTGGTAGGTCAGTTTTGTCCATGTTAATGTGTACTGTGGAACCCACGTCTGGAACAATGTGTTAAGAGAGTACAATAATGATATTCCTTGCATTTGATATAGAACCTTATCATGTCAAAATATCTCAAAGTGCTTCAGAGTTTTCTGTGTATTCTTGGATGTGAACATGACAACCAATTTACATGAAGTGAATGACCATTTTTTTTTAATCTGAGGGATTGTTGGCCAGAAATTAAATTCTCTTTTTGTGAAGTCCTATGGGATCCTTATCGTTCACCTGAACAGCCAGGTGGGACATTTGTTTAACCTTTCTTCCAAAGGACAGCACCTCCAACAATATAATGCTTCCCTCAACCCTGCATTGAAGAGACAGGCTAGACTTTAGACCAAAGAATTAGCTTAATTATTTTTTCGTTGCCTCCACTGGTGTATATTTGATACCAATGCATATTTCATTTATGGAAGGTTCATGGCCAACAGTTCCCACTCTTCCTAACTGGTTATGTTCTGACACATTATCTTCAGACTTTGTTGATATGCAGAACTCCATTTAGTAGAAGTGAAGCATAATAAAGCATAATCCCCTCACCTCCACATTGCCCACTATCGCACGTCCACATTGCCCACTATCGCACATCCACATTGCCCACTATCTCACGTCCACATTGCCCACTTTCTCACGTCCACATTGCCCACTCTCTCACCTCCACATTGCCCACTCTCTCACCTCCAACTCAGGCAAAATCCATCATCCCACCTTTGTCAGCTCCAGAGTCAACCTTTCTGATACACTTTGTTCCACCTTCTGTAACTCTTCTTATAAATCCCTCTGCCTTGATTTGCTCCTCCTGCTCTGCTTTAAAATCCCCTAACAGCTGTGTATCTGTTTCAGCCACCTCCCTCCCACTTTGAGTTTCAATCTGCTTTTGTGAAGCACTTTGCAAAGCTTGGTGCAAATTATTTATATGACAACAATAATATTTGTATTTGATCTAGCACCTATTTCAAAATAGCTCAAACATCTTCACGGGTGAAATGACTGTATTTGTAGGCAAATTCAGCAGTCAGTTTCCACATAGCGATGGTTCACAAACAGCCATGAAGTGTGTGATTAATTTTTGTGGGAATTGTTAGCTGAGATACTAGGGGAACCGCCCTTTTCTTTTTGAATAATGCTATGCAACTTTAATGTCCACCTGAACAGGTAAACAAAGACTTGGTTTAATATCTCAGCTGCATTATACAATAATGCTTACAATTGATGTACCGCATTTCATGTTGGGAGGATGACTCAAAGCACTTCACAGGATTTAGTGTAAAATGTAGTGACTCTGTATTTGTAGGTGAATGTAGCAGCCAATATGCACTGTCCCACAAACAGCCATGAAATAAGTGGCACCTCTGTTCCCCTGTCCTACACTGGAGTGTCAGCCTAGTTGTAAACTCAAATCAGAGTACTTTGGATAGTGAAGTGGGCTCAGATATTTTCTCTGGGAGCTGGATTCTGAGCCATTTCAAATTACTGAGATGAAAGTTTCTTTGATGCTGTAAGGGGGCTTTATTTAAATGGGTTTATCTAACCCACCATAGAAATTGACAACATAGAAGAAGACCATTTGGTCAATCTTGTTTGTACTAACCCACAATAGACCAGGAATTGGATGCTCTGGTATCCGTCACATTAGAAGTGCAAGACTCACTGTTTTTAAATCAGGGATTTATTTTTAAGAATTGGATATTATATATTAATAGATACGAAGAAACTGATGGAACATAAATATTTATCAGTGTTTTCAAATATGGTATTGACCTCTTTCAGATGATGGCACACATGTTGATAGCATGTTGCTCTGTGGAGCAGTAGGATATCAATATGTTCTTGATTTCCCCAAACACTGTACCTTGTAAGTGAATGTGAAGTGCTGTTTTATCTTGTACTTTCCACACACACATTATGGAAGGGAAGAAAATTGCAGTGAGTCAATCAGCGAGATTTTAGTGTCATTTCTAATGAATGGATAAAGAGTAGCATGAGCAGTATCATGGTATCAGATCACCTATCTAAATCTGTGCTGAAAAACATAAACAGTCACAGTGAGCCCATTATGTCTGCGCCACATTTTAAGCTGTTTGTACAGGGTACAGTAGAGGTTATGGAGTGATTTGTATTCGACTTTAGTGCATAATTAAATATCTTGTTTCTGTTCAATCATTTTAACAAGGTGTCACATCTCAGTGTGACTAATGCTGAGCTTGTTCCTGCGATAGGCTATAGAAATGTATTTCCATTTACTGGTGGAAGTTTGAGGTGTATTTAAAAAAAAATTTCATTAAACGAACTGTGTGGTGAAATACTAGCATGAAGCATTTCTGAACAGGGGAGGGTGAACACACTGATGCCTCTAATGACTTGAGCGGCATAATGTGGCTTGTAACCTTGATCTCAAAGTGATGACAGGTGCAGACTTTGCTTAAAATAGTGCTTGCAGCTAATGACATTGGCTGGCTGAATTCAGCTGATACAGTGTCATGGGTTTTCTGCAAAGGATGAAAACAAGTTGATTGGTACTGTGAAAAAGGTCGACACAGTGCAAGTGGAAAATAATTCAGAATCTGTGGGTGGTATTAAAATTAATGGGAATGTGAGAGATTCCAGGAAATTTCACAATAAAAAAGGTGAAGATTAAAGGCAGTATTTCAGACCCCTTTAAGCCCAAAATGCTTACTTTAAGAACTTAGATTTGGGTCTGATAAACTAAGTTCTTATTAAAAATAATAAATTTGACCTGGCACCTTATCACATTGAAACACTTCAATGTACTTCACAGTAAATACTGTTAAGTGTAGTGACCATTTACTTGTAGGGAATTTAGCAGTCAATTTGCACACAGCAAGGTCCTACAAATAGCCAGGAGGTTAATGACTAATTTGACTGGAGAATTGATGACCAGAACACTGGGAGAGACTGCCTTCCCTTTTTGAATTGTGTCATCGTTCTTTAACGTCACTTTGAACATGCAGATTGGACCTCTGTTTAATGTCTCATCTAAAGGACATTTAGGTGTCAGCTTAGGTCAGTTAGTGGCACTCTTACCTCTTAGTCAGTAGGTTATGGGTCCTAGCCCCACGTCAGGACTTGGAACTTGTATCGTCTGTGCTGATTCTCCGGCACAGTGCTGAGGTGCTGTTCGTTGGATGACACGTTAAAAACATCTGCCTGTCCAGGTGGATGTTAAAGGTCCCATGACTCTATTCAAAAAGAGAAGGAAGTCTCTCACAGTGCCCTAACCAACAATCCCCCAAAGAAAGCTGGTCACTCACCCCATGACTGTCTGTGGGACATTGCTGCGCATAAATTGGCTGCTCTGTTCACCCACAAAATGCACACATTCACACTACTTTACAATATGTTATGTAAAGCACTTTGAGCTGTTTCAATGATGATAATGACATATAAATGTAAATATTGTTATTATAGACAATGAATTGTATATTCAGGAATAATCCATGTATTTTGTATTAATAATAATAATCCTTCCATTTGATATAGTGCCTTATTCACGTTGTTGAGACGTCTCAATTGTAAAAGGAATTGTCTGTATTATTAGTATCTTTGATATTGAATTTTATTACCTAATCTAGGGAGCTGGTGGGAAGTTTACAGATGAGACTTCTTTTTCCCTCAGTTCAATCCAGTGTGAATGTAATCCTAATGCAGCTAGTTTCAATACTAGTTTCCTGCACACTGGGCTTGCCAAAGTCTTGCTGTGCTTCTTGCAGTCTTGGTGGAACACTCATAATATTTTGTAGGTGGGAACATCTTTCATTCGAAGAGGAAGAAATTAATCCCTTTACTTCATAGTCCCTGTCCAAGGAAACTTTAATCTACTGGAAAAACAGGTATTTATCCACAAAAGTTTGTGTTTTTCTAAAAAAGACTAATGATCTTTGTATACTCCTAGCTGTTTCCATTACAACTACACTTGCAACAAAAGATCCAATATGGAATGTAGATTTCAGTGATAACACTCACAAACCATTTAACATGCCATAAATACTATGTGTACACTTTGCATGCCTTTGTGCGTCGAAGTCCAGCCATGTTGGTGTTTGAGCAGGCAATTTATTTTGCTGAGTTCTTGTCTGCCTTTCTGCGTCCAAGTCCTGCTGGGCTGTTCTTTGAGCACGCAACTCATTTTGCCTTGCTCTTGCAGTCCTTTCAGCATAGAAGCCCAGCCGTGCTGTTCTTCGTTCTTCAGTTTAATTTACTCGTCCTCTCTTTTGCCTGGCATTTTTATTTGCCCTTGAAAGTCTTGATTTTTGCTTAGAAAATTTGCTATTGGGAGCACTCATGTGGGAAGACTGAGTGGGAAGAATCAGTGTGAGGACTCCTGTTGGTAGGACACCTGATTGGGAGGACTCCTGTTGGTAGGACTCCTGGGAGGATTGTAGCTCCCATGACAACCCGAAAAAAAAATGCTGTACATTAGTTGCAGAATATATCAGTATAGATGTATCTTTTTGGAAGGGAGTGTGGGGCCAATGGTGGGGACGTGAAGCAGGCCGGAGCCTACTGAGCGGAGGGAGCGGGCAGGTTGGTAGGGGGTTAGAAGGTCGTAGAGGTAAGGGGGAACAAGGCCATGGAGGGCTTTGAAGGTGAGGACCAGGATCTTGAACTGTATCCTCTGTGTGATGGGAAGCCATGGAGTCGGATGAGGA